TGATGTATACATAATTTTTTTTCAAAGTTAATGTGCCAAGGTTAACTACATACTATGGACGGAAGTCGGAACTAATTAACTCAACTAAGGAGGAGTAAAATGAAAGAAATAAAAATATAATCGGCCTGAAATCCCGCAACTTCATATCATAATCTTTTCTCAGCAACCCAACGGCTAGGTACGGGGTACCACCTCTACAACTCGTGGTACAGCTTCAACAAGCTTGAATTCCTTAGTTTATATGGCCCACTCATTCATTCCACATATTTTTGAAAATCACTTTGCTTTTTCCCTCCCTTTCCTCCTCCACTTATAAATTTTGGGACTTAGGGTTTCCTTTTCTTCACATTCAGTATGAGTAATTTGGACATATATCAGTCCCATCTCTACCCATTCACCGCCGATGCTGCTGGTAAGTTCCCAATCCAGGCAGCGAATGCATCTCTTTACATACATTTTAAACCTTTACATTGTTGTGTTTGTCCATGGCTTTTGGATCCAAGTGATTCTTATTTGTCTTAATTCTATGTAGCTTCATATGCTGAATATCGTGCTGGGTTGGAGATTAAACAGAAGGTTGGTTCTTTTTATTATTTTTTTTGGTGGTTTTGTTCTGGTTCATTCTATTTTTAGTTGAAACATTTCACTTTGTTTTTTCTTTTGGAAATGTGTAGGATAACCTTCGGAAATTCAGTGGGAGTACCTTACCTAAACTTAAGAGTTTGTCACCACAAGTTAGGAAGCGTGTGGAGGCTTTGAAAAACCTTCAGGTTTTGTTATTCATATGTTTCAATTAATATGATGTTGTTTGATCGACACTGAGTTAAGATGTTATATTAGTGGTAGTGGAAGAATATACAATAACTATTTATAAACAAATTAGTATAAGAAACAAGCAAGAAAAATTAAAACTTGGTAAAAGTAGGGCGAGTTGGGCAATGACCATTGTTTACCCATCTTGATCCAACTCATCTCAGCCTTTGGGTGGATTGAGAAACCGTCCATTTATCAATCCAGTATATTTTTTACCTGCCCAAATTCAACCCAACCACACATTTGACACCCCTACATTAAAGTTTCGTAGTTATTGTGTATATGTGTTTGGATGAAGTATTCTTAGTTAATTTGCTTACTATTTCCTGCCTTTTGTGCCTCATTTGGAAGTTAGTATTGAAGCAAACATTAAACTATAATCGCTAATCAAGAGGGCACCAGGGAGGAAAGAAGAAAGCTGATCATATATGTTGGCTTATACGTCTCTTTGAGTTCAATCTGTCATAAAGTTAGGTTGATGAAACTGTATATAATGACAGTATTTCTGGAGGAGACACACTGTTATTAGGCCATTCTTTCCTCATCCCCCCCCCCCCCCCCGCGACCCAACAAATGATGTTTAATTTGCAGGACTACGTTAGTACATGAATAAATTCCCAAAGTACTGATTAATTTGCTTTACTTATAAGTCCTTATTTTCGGTCCAACTTTTTTGGTGTATTTCCGTGTCACATTCTATTGCCCTGTGTTAGATCATTCAATATATTATGTATATTTTAACTGCTCTTGCAAAAGGAAGAAGAGAGTTTGACAGAATTTTCTGTTTGTAGGGTCAACCTGCTGCACTGAAAGCTTTATTGTCGGAGGAGAAGGCTGTACTTAAAGCTGGTTATGAGAAGCTCCATGAATCGTTGCACACGAAGGTGAAACAGCTAATTCAACTTGTTCTGCAGCTTCATGTGTCTTGACAACAATCTGCTCGCCCAGCCACTCCCCAATCCCACCCCAAAAATAGAGAAACATAAAGAAAGAGAAAGGGAAGAGATACTTCTATTTTGTAGAAGATAGAAGTTAGTACCTTGCACCTGTTTTGACTAAAACTTCTTTGGATATTGAGTCATCACTAGAGAGATTCCAAAAATTTAATATACTGAGCTATAGTATCTATCATAGAACTATTGCACCAAACATGCAAGTTTAGTAGACATCTGGTTTTGACAAAGAAATGCGTTGCAGTATACCTTCAAAACAATTTTTATTCCTTTCTAACCAGGTAATCCACAAGAAGCTGTATATAATGATTGTATTTCTAGAGGAGGCACACTGTTATAGGCCATTCTTTCCTCCATCTCCCTCAGACCAGCAAAAGATATTTAATTTGCATGACTACGTTTATACATGAGCAAATTTTCATTCTAATGGTTAATTTGCTTTACTAGGTCCTTATTTTCAATGCCAACTTTTTGGTCCTTGGAATTTCATGTCACATTCTGTTGCCTGTATTAGATCATCCAATATTGTGTACATTTTCACTGCTTTTGCAAAAGGAAGAAAGAGAGATTGAAAGAATTTTCTGTTTGTAGAGTGAACGCAGTGCGCTACAAGCTTTATTTTTGAAGGAGAAGGCTGTACTTGAAGCTAAATATGAGAAGCTGCATGAATCGTTGCACATGAAGGTGAAAAGGATAACTCAACTTGTGCCTTGACAATGTAACAGCTCGCCAGCCATTCCCCAGTCCCCATCCGAAATAAAATAAATAAATAAAAAGAATATGAAAGAGATATGAAAGTATAGAAGAAAGAAATACTTCTATTTTGTTGAAGTTAGTAACCTTGCAGCTGTTTTGATTCAAATTTCTTTGAATATCCATCCTGGTTTATCATTTTCCTGTTTCTTCGCAGAGATATGAAATAGTGAATGGTATTGTTGAAGTAGAAGGTGATAATATGGGGACAGGAGATGGTAAACTGTGGCATGCTCTTTCTTACATTCATGCAGAATTAATTGCAGACGGGCTTTAATCTTTTGTTGTGAACTTCTGTACAGAGAAAGGTGTTCCCAACTTCTGGTTGACTGCAATGAAGGCCTTTGAGATATACGAAGATGAGGTAATATCATCATTTCTTGCAGTACTCTGGTGTATTGATGATTGAACTGACTGCAAAACACTGTTGCAGATGAACATCTCACCGCGGGATGAAGAAGCTTTAAAGTACCTCAAGGATATCAAGTGTTGTACAGTCGATCATCCAAAGGGTTTTAAGCTTGATTTCTTCTTTGATACAAACCCTTTTTTCAAGAATTCTGTGTTGACAAAGACTTGTCACAAAAGGATAAAAAAGGATATGTCAAATAACATAACATGGTAGATTCTTCTGTCTTGTTACTTTGGTTTGATATCTTATGATCCTTTTTGTGTTGGTTTGTTTGATGTGTGGGATGTGTTGCAGGACGGATATTGAATGGTATCCAGGAAAATGCTTGACAAAGAGGATAGTAAAATGCAATCCAAATAAGAAGTTAAAAAATGCTAAGCCCATGATCAGGAATGTGGATTGGGAAGACTTTTTCAATTTTTTCAAACCGCCACCGGTACCTAAACTTCTACTTTATTCATTTACTGTTAAATGTACCAACTTTTCATCTGATATCATAACTAAGCCAAATGTATTTCTTACAGGTTACAGGACTCCAGTGTCATATGCAAGAAGATTATGAAATTGGGTCTGCACATTTCTTCTTTGCTTGGATTGTGCCTCTAGTACAAATTCACTTTATTTAGACTTTGTCCCTTTAAATTCCACTTTTGTTCTACACATCATAAATTGCTATTGTTTGAATTAGAAGAGTATATTTGATGTTATATTTTCTGCTTCCATTCGCAGCTCAATATTTCGGAACAAAATAATCCCTCAAGCAGTGAAGTGGTTTACTCGTGGTGTAGCTGAAAAAGAAGACTCGAAGAAAATGGAATATCATTTTACTCGACATGTAACGAGGCAAGACAATTTTGAAGAAGACGACGACAGTGAGGATGATTATGATCATCATCATGTTGGATATCAACATCATAGTGGATACCATTCCTGTTAATGGAAAGTCCATAGGAATTCCAGTTTTCCTAAGAATGAATAGCAGATATATTTATCAGGAATTCGGACAAGTCAATTGACAACAAAGCTTTACATGACAACAATGTTGGAATTGTTCTGTCTTCTGGTTTTGAAAATGCAAACAAGAAAATAACTCTTTTCCTACTCTTTATTTTCGTGGACTCGTTTTTGTTTATTCTTTCTTATCTTACGTGAAAGACAAAGTGTCTCTCATTGGTTGTTGAAAAAACTTTTATCCTCCTTGTATTGATTTGTTTTCCCTAGGGATTGTAAAGAGCTAGTAAAAGGGAGTGGTCTGGTATACATGAGAATTGGGCTTACAAGACAAAACAGGTTGATTTGACCCCTCTTGGGCGAGATGTATGTGACACCTAATCCAAAATCCAATTTTGCAAGAAAATTATGTGTACAAGTCTGCAAGAATGCGTGTAGATTCATTTTCTCTTTAATGACTAATTTAATTGATGATTTGAATGACCAATTCAGATTTATAGCCTATATAAACCAGCCTACAGCTAAATACTATCTTCAAAGTTCTTCTCCTTCTAGTTAGCATTTGTTTTTGCAAACTCCAAACTTCCAGCCACTATTGTAAGTGTTTGGGAGTGATGTGCCCATCGTTTATCGTGTAAATTTGAAAAAAGTAGTTTTGCTTTTAATGTGGAAAATGATATTTGAAAATCGATTATATTTGGCTATTGGAAGTTGTTTTTGACATTTTGTGAGTAATTTGGAGTGAAAAAAAGTGAAACATTTTTGTTGTTTTTCAAATTCCAGAAGAAGTTGAATTTCAAAGTTCTTTGGCTAAACGTGTTTTTCCGAGTTAAAACTCGAAAAAAGTGAAAAAATTTCATGATCAAATCCTAATGGCCCAAGCCCCAGGAAACTCCAATGTTGTTTCCTCAGCTACCCAACGACTAGGTACCACCTCCACAACTCCTGGTACAACTTCCACAAGCTTGAATTCGTTAGTTTTATTCTCACGACGTGACAGATTATGGGCCCGCTCACTCATCCCCGTATCTTTTTGAAAATCTCTTTGGAGTTTCCCTCCTTTTTCTCTCCCACTTATAAATTTTGGGACTTAGGGTTTCTCTTTCTTCACATTCAGTATGACTAATTTGAACATATATCAGACCCATCTCTACCCATTCACCGCTGATGCCGCCGGTAAATTCCTAATCTAGGCAGCGAATGCACTATTTTACACTGTTGTCAGTTTTCTTTTGTGTGTTGATTCTTATTTGTCTTACTTCTACGTAGCTTCGTATGCTGAATATCGTTCTGAGTTGGAGATTGAACGGAAGGTTGGTTCGTTTTTATGTGTTTTTGTTCTATTTTCGTTCAAATATTTCACTTTGTTTTCTTGTATATTGTAGTAATTTCTATTGTATTGGAAATGTCTATTGTATTGGAAGCGTGTGGAGGCTTTGAGAAACCTTCAGGTTTATTATTCAACTAATGTGATGTTGTTCGATTGACATTGAGTTAAGATGATATGTTAGTGATAGTGGAAGAAGATACTATAATTGCCCAGAAGTTACTTTAATGGAAAAAAAATCAAATATTAAGATCTGAATACTTAAATTAAGATACTATAATTTCAAGTCACATTCTGATGCTTGTATTAGATCATCCAATATATTGTGTAGATTTTAACTGCTCTTGCAAAAGGAAGAAAGAGAGCTTGACAGAATTTTCTGTTTGTAGGGTCAACCTGTTGCGCTGAAAGCTTTATTGTCAGAGGAGAAGGCTGTACTTAAAGCTGGTTATGAGAAGGTGTTTGAATCACTGCACACGAAGGTGAAAAAGGCTAATTCAACTTGTTCTGCATCTTCATTTGTCTTGACAACAATATCTGCTTGCCCAGCCACTCCCCAATTCCTGCCCCCCAAAAAAGAACAGATAGGAAAGTAAAGAAGGAAGAGATACTTCTATTTTGTAGAAGTTAGTACCTTGCAACTGTTTTGACTCAAATTTCTTTGGATATTGAGTCATCACTGTAGAGATCCCCAAAAATTAATATACCAAGGCATATGATCTATCATAGAGCTTTTGCACCAAATATGCAAGTTTCGTAGGCATCTGGTTTTGACAAAGAAATGTGTTGTGGTATCCCTTCAAAACAATTTATATTCCTTTCCAACTAGATAGTCCATAAGAAGCTGTATATAATGACTGTATTTCTGGAGGAGACATACTGTTATAGGCCATTCTTCTCTCCCCCATCTCCCCCGGACCAGCAAAAGATATTTAATTTGCATGACTACATTTATACATGAATAAATTTTCATTCTAATGATTAATTTTCTTTACTTCCAAGTTCCCATTATCAATGCCAACTTTTGGTCCTTGGATTTTCATGTCACATTCTGTTGCCTGTATTAGATCATCCAATATTGTGTACATTTTCACTGATCTTGCGAAAGGAAGAAAGAGAGATTGACAGAATTTTCTGTTTGTAGAGTGAACGTGATGGGCTTAAAGCTTTATTTTCGAAGGAGAAGGCTGTACTTGAAGCTAAATATGAGAAGCTGCATGGATCGTTGAACTCGAAGGTGAAAAGGATAACTCAACTTGTGTCATCAATGTAACTGCTTGCCAGCCACTCCCCAATCCCCACCCCAAATAAAAAAGAAAAAGAAAGAGATAGGAAAAATAGAGAAGGAAGAAATATTTCTATTTTGTAGAAGTTAGTAATCTTGCAGCTGTTTTGACTCAAATTTCTTTGGATATCCATCCTGGTTAATCATTTTCTGGTTTCTCTGCAGAGATATGAAATAGTAAATGGTGTTGTTGAAGTGAAAGGTGATAATATGGGGACAGGAGATGGTAAACTGTGACATGCTCTTTCTTACATAGTTACATTCATGCAGAATTAATTGCAGACGGGCTTTAATCTTGTTGTTATGAACTTTTGATACAGAGAAAGGTGTTCCCAACTTCTGGCTGACTGCATTGAAGTCCTATGCGAAATACGAAGAGGAGGTAAATAATTAAAGTTATCATTGCTTCTTTCAGTAATCCATATATTGATGATTGAACTGACCGCAAGTCACTCTGTGGTAGATCTACATCTCAAAGCGGGATCAAGAAGCTTTAAAATTCCTCAAGGATATTAAGTGGTGCAGGGTCGATCATCCAAAGGGTTTTAAGTTTGATTTCTTTTTTGATACAAACCCCTTTTTCAAGAATTCTGTATTGACAAAGACCTGTCACAAAAGGGTAAATATGGCTATGGCAGAAGACGTAACATGGTAAATTCTGCTGTCTTATAATTTTGGTTCGATATCTTATGATCCTTTTTGTATTGGTTTGTTTGATGAGTGGGACGTGTTGCAGGACGGATATTGAATGGTTTCCAAGAAAATGCTTGACAAAGAAGATTGTAAAATGCAATCCAAATAAGAGGTTAATAAGTGCTAAACCAATGATCAGAACTGTCAATTGTCAAAGTTTTTTCAGTTTTTTCAAACAGCCACCGGTACCTAAACTTCGACTTCATTCATTTACTGTTAAATGTACTAATATTTCATCTGAAGTCATAACTAAGCCAAATGTATTTCTGACAGGTCACAGAACTCCTGTATCATATGCAAGCAGAGATGAGGAATTGTGAAATTGGGTCTGTAGATCATTTCTCTTTGCTTGGATGTTGCCTTTTGAGTTGATCACTTTTATTTATATCGTTGTCCTTATAAATTCCACTTTTTGTTCTATGCATCATAAGTTGCCGTTGTTTGAATCAGAAGAGTAAATGTGATGTTATATTTTCTGCTTCCATTCACAGCTCAATAATTCGGAACAAAATAATCTCTCAAGCAGTGTTGTGGTTTACTGGTGAGGCTAAACATGATGAAGACGGCAATGATTATGATGACGAAGATGACGACGATGACGACGATGATTATGCTTATGAGGACGACAACAACGATGACGACAATGGTTATGATTATAATTATGATGATGTCGACAACAACGACGATGAATATGCCGAGTATTATGATGGGGAAGACGAGGAAGAAGAAGAGAAGCCCGAAAAGAAGGTGACATTTGTTTTCCCTGCTTCTATTCAACTAATTTCCTTGCCGCACAGTTTTCTCTACCCTAAAAAATTGAAAAGGGTCCTCTTCATTTTCTTTCAGCTCTATTCTCCGGTGATTCCTATCTCCATTTTACCCTTTCCTCTCCTCCATTTTACTCTTCTACAGTTTTTTCCTTATTACTGATTAATTACAAGAGGAGATGGAACTGAAAAAGAAAAAAAAGTATCATTTTTGTTTTGGAAGCTTCTATGGAAGTCTAAACTTTGTTGTTCTAGAAGGTTCTGAGGATATTTATGTGCAGATTCAGGCGCAGCATCGGAGTCCAGTGACGAGAGGAATTGGTGTGGCAGCAGCCACAGCTACTGGTGGCACTGCCACCACAGCTGTTCCAGGTGGTGTTGCAAACCAGTTCAAGCCTACGTCTCTGTACATAGGAGACTTGAACATCAACGTGACAGATACACAACTGTACCAGCTGTTTAACCAAGCGGGTCAGGTTATATCGGTTAGGATTTGTAGGGACTTTAGCACTCGGAGATCCCTTGGCTATGGCTTCGTCAACTACAGCAACCCTCAGGATGCTGCAAGGGCAATGGAGATGTTAGATTTCACTCCTGTTAATGGAAAGTCCATTAGGGTGAAGCGCTCTCATAGGGATCCTAATTCTCCTAAGAATAGAACAGCTAATCTATTTATCAGGAATTTGGACAAGTCAATCGACATCGAAGCTTTACATGACACCTTTTCAAGCTTTGGCCACATTCCTTCTTGCAAGATAGTTACTGATTCTAATGGCCAGTCGAAGGGTTATGGTTTTGTACAATTTGACAATGATGAATCCGCTCAAAGTGCCATAGATAAGTTAAATGGTATGCTCATCAATGGTAAGCAAGTGTATGTTGCACATGCTCTTTGCAAAGAGAAGGGTGGCAGAGGCACAAGCTGGGGAAGGTCAATGGAGTGGTGAACGTCCTCCAGTGCGCAGGCAATAGTAATTTGTGGTGGTTGCCCACTAGGCTAAAAGCTATGGGGAAGGACCAATCTTGAAACCCTTGGTTGATAAATTTGCCTTCGCCTCATTTTGGTATGTTCATCTTTCCTTTTTGTCTATTCGTTTTTCCCATCTTTCTCTTTAGTCTTTTACTTGTTGGCAGTGATTTTGTGATCTCTCAGGGTTATTTTTTGTTGCCTGTTGTCAACCTTTTGTTATCATGATATATTTGGCTTTCTTCCCCACCTTTTTCTATCACCCTCCTCTTTACCGCCCTAGGTAGTTTGTTACAGCTATGATTGTCTATTGTGAAGGTTAATAGATGATCCAATTTTGTATCTACTATATATATATATTTTGTTACAGCTATGATTGTCTATTGTGAAGGTTAATAGATGATCCAATTTTGTATCTACTATATATATATATATATACTAGCTGCCTAGTAAATATCATTTCGGATTATGTAAATATGTTATCGAATTCTGTGTTTTTACTTCTCTTTATTAATGATAAAAATACCGTAAGAATGAAATTTTCTATAATGAAGTACCAATGTGGAAAGGGAGGAGAGTCCTAAATAGAAATGAGAAATTTGCGGCCAGTAAAGTCAAACTCAAACAGCACGCCAAAAACATGGGTCATTACCTGATTGCCAAATTTGTTCTTGACGAGAGAGAGTTGCAGACACCCTTCACTTCCAACTTGAATGTAATGAGTTCGAATCACAAGGGAGCAAAAATGTGGGGCACCTAGTGAGGGGTAAAAAAATGAATAAAAAATAGGGCTGGCATATTAGCTAGCTGAAAGGGATGTCTGATTTTGATTAAACAAGAGTGAGAAATATCCTGAATTTGAGTGTGATTGTAATATGGGCATATGCCTTCCTCCTACCCGTGAGCATGAGGTCCCCATTGTGATTTGTGTGTGAATTTGAAACTAATAATCGAGGGCTGGCATATTGGCTTATCACGTTTAATTTATAACAAAGCCAATTGCATGCTGACATTTGTTTGGTCAGTTTGAGTTGGTGACTTGGAAGAAAAGTACTACCTACCTTTCTGTGTCCGTAAAATGAGAAGTTTATAGTAAAATTATTTTTGAATATAAGTTGAATTCTTTTACGAGATAGAGACACATGGGCCATAGAGAGCTATGTTTATTGTCGGGTCACGGACGATTCTGCTCATGCGTCCCCATCAGCCAGACAGTCACTCCTTTGCAGCTTCCCGGAAGTTGTGACTTGTGAGTAGAATTTTCCTCTTTAATCTGCTGTGTACTTTCTGAATAATAAATAAACACAATAACAAAATATACTCTAGGCATTTCCCACAGGCTTTTAGTTTTGTTCTTTCTTCTATTTAGGGGCAGATATAGGGTTTTGAGTGCGGAATTTCGGGAATCTAATATCTTTTGTGCAAATAAAGTATTTATATTGAGAAATCTATTAAATATATAAGAAATATGTGTTGAAAATCTAGTAACAAAGTATGTACTTGGTCCAGCGGTAAAAAATGGAACTCACTTTGTTGCTCTCATTCATGAGGGTTCAATTTCCCAAGGGCACTTATAACAGAGTTCTTGTTTTTTTTTAATTTGAGATCGTTAGAAACTCATGAACTTCAAAACTTATATTTGATTTAGCTAAAGTGTCCTTTTTAGTGAGAATATGTACCATTCTAAGCAGGGTCGATGATAAGTATCAGCATTTATGCCTTCCACAAGTAATATTTTTTATTTTCTTATCAAACATCAATATGAAAATTAAAAAGATCATTTATTTTTCGACAAAGTACTTCTCCTTCATACACCCTTCAACATTGTCAGAATCAAAGTTTCACCATCACTCTTTAAACAAAATATTTTCCCTTCATTTTCTTAATAATATAAAATTATGAAATTGGCACGTACGGAGATGTAAATAAGTGTTCTATTGGAAACGAATGTGGTTATTTCTTTTTTAATTAGAGGCGTGTTTTAAGTTGAGTATGAAAAAAATCCTTTGGTAGAAAATGTTTCTGCTGAGATTTTCGAATATTTAAATTAATCAAATTTCAATACAGATATCATAGAAGTGCTATTACATGTAATAAATAAATTAAACAAAAGACAAAAGTGGGTCCCTTCTTGCTAATTTCCTCTGCTCTACAGCATCCAGCACTTAATAAGCTTTCTCCTTGATAGTGGCGGCCATAAATTTTAGGAAGGGATGTCCCAATATAAAAAGTAATCACACAATAAATAGAAATAAGGAAAGTTATATATATATATATTAGATACTGGTGCCCGTATTAGCACTAGCACGGGCTCATTATGTATTATTTTTTATTTTAATTTGTATGGCACAGACAAAATTAAAGAGTTAATCAAATTTTAATATTAATTTATTGTTAACTATGGTAAATTTTTTTTATGTCTTTTAACATTATAAATTGCTAATTATTATTGTATGATTTGTAATATCTTTTATGCAATTTTCAAATAATAAAGGTTATTTCTTCTTTCTCAATTTATATGGTACTAATAAAATTTCAAGATTCAATCAATTTTTTTGTCTTTGAAATATTTCTAGTTGTTAATTATTGTAATTTATAGTACTTTTTAAGTAATTTTCAAATAATATATATTATTTCATTTCTCCCAATTTATGTGTCAACGATAAAATTTGAAGAGGCAATCAGATCTTTTATATATTTTTATATCTTTGGAACATTTAAGTAACTTATTATGGTGATTTATAATATTTTATAAAATTTATTTAATTTTTTTTAAAAAAAAAAACGAATTCATCGTAGAAAAATTACCAAAGCATCCTTCAATACATCAATAATGGGTCCCACTTTTTGTTTAAAAAATATGCATTTTGGGAGGATATTTTTGTCCAAAGTGGAAATAGAAGAAGTATAAAGCATTAAAGTCTTTTAAAATTTTAAATTGTCAGTTATTATCATATGATTTGTAATATTTTTACGCAACTTTCAAATAATAAAGGTCATTTCTTCTTTCTCAATTTATGTGATACTAATAAAATTTTGAGATTCAATCAATTTTTTTTTTGTCTTTGAAATATTTCTAGTTGTTACGGTTGTCACAGAGTTACCATCAAGGATAGTTTCGTCATTTGATTCTAATTTGAGCTGCTAACATGCCGAGGTGTGGGTTTCCACGTGGTTTAAACACAGTAATAATTCACGTCTTTTTTTCCTCTTCCCGGTTCCCACTAACGATTCCCAAGGAGGAAAAATGGTGATTGTTCTGATTTCCCTTTTTGCTTCCTTTTTTGCTTTGCTGCTTCTTTATCATTCTTAACTCAAACTTGTCCACAAATAGCTAGTCATAGGAGTTGTTGTCAAGGTCCTGTTCTGTATAAGGTATCTGATTCATTGTCTAGCTGACCAAATAAAAAGCTGTGTGGGGAAGATAATCTTGGTATAAAGTGCTAAATATGATAAATTGATATAAGCCCTCTCAAGTAAAATAATTTTTAAGAAGAAATTTGAGGGAGCCCTATCCTCCATCAACTTTCGAAAAGGTAACTTCTTGTTCTTCAATCATGAAAAAACACTCCCAAGTCTCCAAGAAAGCAAAATCAGAGCAAACAAATCAATGACTTTCAGACTGAGTACATACTTAAATCTATTAACATGTACAAAATGCTATGCAATCAACCATTTCAAATGAAAAAGAAGGTGAAATATTTTTCTGCTAAAAGAATCATATTAGTCATTTTTTCGAATGTACATATCATCTTGTTTATTCTCATAATTTTCCTTTGGTTCTGTGCAACAATATTTCAAACACCAAAGAACTGTCAAAATAGCCGTGATATGTGCCTTGTAAACACCATATGCTTTTCATTAGATATTCTCTCTGTCACTTAAAACCGACAAAAATCATCAATGATCAATTTTCTATTTCAAAATTGCTAGTGAAATCTTAGTCAAAAGCACACTAACTTCACCAAACATTTTCAAATTTGATATTTAATCTCACTAAAAGATCTCTAATAAAATCCAACAACACATAATCTAAATAATACACAATTTGGAGAAACCCAATTTAAAAGTCAAATTTTGAAGCTTCGGACTTTCTTCGTCTAGATCAGACAAAAGAAGCCACATTATAAAGCTCAAATGGTCTCCAAATCATTAACAAACCATCACAATTTAGTTCAATAAAGTTTTCTTTTGATATATCCAAAACGACAAACTTCAAATTTCGAAAGATTCCGTAACTCTGTTATATTTAATCCAACATCAAGCTTCAATTTTGAGAAAAATTATTTTAAGCTCAAAAACTTATTTTTAATTGAGTTCACAAACTAAAATACAGATGTTTGAAAGTAAATAAAATTAGTGCATGTGTGAATAATCATAGTAGGAGATTTGGAAGCCAGTCGAGCCAAAACTGAAAATTTGTTTTTTAAAAAGCAAATAGTGAAATATCAAATTAAATTTTTCTGAGAAGAAAATCAAAATAGAGAATTAATACCTAACAAAGATCCATGGAAGTGAGAGGAGAGAGACAAATGAAAACCGAAGATTGAAAAACAGTAGTTAAAGATGTGTCAGCCTAGAAAGGAAAACAACAAAGGCTTAATACGTGTTAATATTACTGGAAAAGTGGTACTATTTACCAATAAGACAACGACTTGACATTAAATTATGGTACAATAAATATTACTTTTTGTACAAGTATTTGTTGTTGTGTTCGTCCTTTAGAAGTGCCACTTCTAAATAAGAGTATAATATATATATATATATATATACTTAGCTGGTTTGGAGGATGATTATTTATATGGATGACTTGAGATCGATTCTCCCTCAATGCCTTCTGAGTTGAATTTATCGCATAGAACATGCGTAGTGCATTTTGCATTCTATTCGGCCAAAGAATAGAGATCATGACAGAGATCGTAGCTCCAGCTCGCTGCGCCTTGATTTCTTTGAATCTCTTAATTTGCTGTCATGCATATACGATCATATTATATACTAGTAATACTAATAGGTCCTGAATTATTTTGGAATATAATGGACCCCAATGCTTTTCCTTTTGCCGCCTCGTGAACTCACAACAGAATTATCCTACGTACCGATAACTACTAGGAATTTTAATTATTTT